ATAATTTTATATACGAATAAATACAAGCAGGTCGTAACACGCAGTGAAATTAAATGAAATCACAATAAAATAGGACATCAAGATTTACGTGAAAAAATCCTCTAACGTGAAGAATAAAAATCACGGGACAACCCAGAAAAAATTCGAATATATAAATCTCAGAGTCTCTTGCCTAGATGAGAACACTGCCTAGATGATTAAGAATAATCTTTCTACGTTGTCATTATCTTCTTCCCTTTCATTCTCTTTTTTTTTATCATTTTTTTTTATAATCACGTATTTACAGTATTCTAGCCCTATTCGCAGCCACTGCAACCCTATTTTACCTTCGTTAGCCACCATACTTTTTTGTTAAAAATGTTAGGGTTTTAAAGTTAAAGAAATGTGAGTTATGGATTATTAAAACTCACTATGGGCTGAACTCATTGGCTCTTAGCCCAACAATACCTTCATCATCCACCATGAAGAAGTCATCTTTTGAGACGATACCGATAAAGCTGTTGATGATACGAGGCCAGTGGCATAATGGCAAGGAGTTCTTCAAGATGCTGCTGTAGTATCCTACATACACCAATGCTCGAAACGAGGCCATAGACGAGATACAATTAGATTTCTTGCTAAGGAGCATGGGCTACACTGTAAGGGAGGGAGATGTTGCCAAGAATAGGAAGGTGCTGGGAAAATACGACAAAGAAGAGGATAAAAATACTATGGAAACAAATAACAAACACAAACACAAGATCAAGAATACTTTAGGAAAGATATTTAGGCTTGAAACGTGTATAAACACTTTCCTAAAAATGATATTTATACCCTCTTCTTAATAAGATTGCTATTGGTTTGATGAAAATAGTTTTAGTGGATGTGACAAGACTTTAGAAGATCTATATTGAGTAAAAAATAAAGAATATCTAATTCAATCACTTGGAGAGTAGAGTAAAGAAAAAGAATATGAAAAAGATATCTTAATAATTTACCCTCAAATATCTATTTATAGATATTTTCTTAAAAGACACAACATTTGAAAAATAACTACCAAAATAACTATAAAAGAAAATACCTTTTCAAATAAATCTTTTGAAAAGAAATTCTTTTTTTTATTTGAACAATTTATAACAATCCCCCACTTGTTCAAATTTAAATTTTTATCCAAGTGATTAAATAGTATTTATGAATAAAGTATAATATCTTTCGATTTGAATATTACCTTAGTGTAAGCATCACAAAGTGAAGTCGATATCCCAAATAGCATAAAAGCTTTGAATTTATTACTCCTAATGACAACACCAGTGATACTACACATATAAATACAATATCCTTGTATTCCTCATAAAATCTCGCTTAGCCCTAATGTGGCCTTGGGCTTATCCAACTTCATGAACTTTTATGAGAGAAAACTCCAACTCTCCATCGAAGCGACACTACTTTTAAGTTCATATAGGTGAAGTTCTTATAGTATCTTTGTAGATACTTGTCCTAACTTGATTGAACTTCATTAAGAGTATAATTAACTCAACCCTCATTCAGTGATAACCAGCACTTTAACATCTTTAGATGAGACTCATAAAATATTTCAAAGTGCTGAACCACTCCACATGTCAATGACTTGTTCTTACCTTTTGAACTCTTCATTACTCATTTCATAATATTGAGTAGGGTTGCTATCATTGGTGGATCTTTTATTCAAGGAGTTTTAGCCCCATCCATTTTGATGTTGATCTTACAACTTCTCTTATAAGAGGTTTGGTGAATGGATCATCTTCCACTTGTAAAATAAGAGGAATTGTTTTTGCTTTTCGTACATGAGTGCTTCTCGTTAATTTATGAGATTGCTCTCCAACCTCTTATGAACTTGATTGATGTCCAATCAAAGGAATATTAGGTTGCTCACCAATCTTTTGAGATGTCTCCACTAGTGACTCTTCACTAGTTGGAGGATTAACATTATTACTTGAAGTCATTAAATGTTCAAAGAACTCCACATCTCAAGATTCTATTATGATATTAGACTCAAATTAAGAAGTTTATATGCTTTGCTATTTGAGGCATAGCCTATAAATGCACATTTGATTCCTCTAGGTCCCAACTTTGTCCTTTGAGGATCATTATTTTTACAATATGCAAGACACCCCCACACTTTAAAATAACCAATGTTAGGTTGTCTTCCTTTCCATAACTCATATGGAGAGATCTTATTCTTTTTAAAATATGACATGCATCATAAAACTTCTCATCACAAATTATAAGATGATTTAGCATGCAACAACATAGCATTAATCATCTCTAAATAAGTTTTATTCTTTCTTTTTACTAATCCATTTTGCTCAGGTGTTCTATGTGTTGAACATTCATGAATTATACCATGTTGTTCACAAAACAAATTAAATTCATTAGGAAAGTATTCTCCTCCTCTATCACTTCTTAAAGATTTAATTTTCTTCCCCAATTGATTTTCAACTTCTGCTTTATATACCTTAAAAGTATTAAAAGTATCATTTTTTATGTTTCAACAAGTACACATATATAAATCTAGACATATCATCTATAAAAGTAATGAAATATCTATTACCTTCTCTCGTTAATGTGTCATTTAATTCACATATATCAAAATATATTAAGTCTAACAAATTAGTACATCTTTCGAAGGGTTTTTTCATCATCTTTGATTTAACATAAATTTCACATTTATTAAGATCATCAAAATGATAATTTATTAAGCCACACTTAATCATTCTTCTTCTAGTTTCAATATCTGTTAATCTATCATGCCATAATGAATAAGAATCAACAATATAAATAGAAGCAACATCTTTATTAAATTTAGAATCATTGTCAACAATAGATAATTTGACTATTCCCTCAGCCGAATAGCCTTTTCCAACAAAAGTTCCATTACGGGATAGAATTAATTTCCCAGATTCAAATACATATTTAATTCCAGGTTTGCCAAGGAGATTCCTACTTACTAAATTTTTACTCATATCCGAAGAACATTAGTAAGAGTGACTTTCTTACCCGAAGTAAAAGTGAGTTCCACATTTCCTTTGCCAATCACCTTAGAACGAACTTCATTTTCCATTTGAATCTCTTGCTCTTCTATGACTTCTTTGTAAGTCTTAAATAGTGCCTTATCATAGCAAACATGGACGGTAGCACAAGTATCGTACCACCAACCAGAAACCTTGCCAAATATGGCATTCACTTCGCTCACCATAGCGATTATATTATCATCTCCCTCAATGGAGTTGACTTCCAGTTTTTAGCCCTTTTTAAATCTGTAATCCCTAGCAAAATGACCAGGTTTTCTACAAACAAAACAGCCTCTACTCTTTGGCTTCTTAAATCTTCTTTGATCCCTTTTGGGGCCAAAATAATTTTCCTTGTTTTGTTTGTCTTTGTTGGAATTCTTTGGTTGATTCATAACATTTTCTTTTATATTACCAAAGGAGTTCTCACTCTTTTCTCTCATCCTTGATTCCTCCTCGATTCGAAGATGTTTTTGAATTTACTCCAAAATGATATCCTTGGAGTCATGCAAAATCTTCTTCCTATATCCTTTTCAAGATGAAGGCAACTTGGCTATTATAGCCTATACTTGAAAATGTTCAGGAAGTTCGATTTTTTCAGCCTTCAATTGATTAACAATGACCTGCAACTCATGCACTTGTGCCAAGATTAGCTTGTCATCCATAAACTTGTAATCAAAATATTTAGAAATCAAAAATTTCTTTGTACCTTCCTCCTCGGCATGATACTTGAATTCCAAAGCATTCTAAATTGCTTTTGTAAATGGTTCGTATAAAAATCATAAAGCTGATCTGAAAGAGCATTGAGAATGTGTCCTCTACACATGACTTCATCTTCGATTCTCTTCTTTTGTTCAACCTTGATTTCATCGGTGTCATCATCGGTTGGATCAGGAATTGGTTGAAGATTTGGATCAAGCACATAGAAGATCTTCAAAGCAGTCAACAAGAATTTCATATTATCTTGCTAACGTGTAAAATTCGTTCCTCAAAACGATCCAAATGAATAAAATCTTGATTCAATAATTTAATAGTATTTGTGGCCTCTATAGTGAATTTATATAAACTCAAAAATATCATTTTTAGATTGTTAAGAAAATACGATAAAGAAGAGGATAAAAACACTATAGAAATAAATAACAAACACAAGATTAAGAATACTTTAGGAAAGATATTTAGGCTTGAAATATGTATAAACACTTTCCTAAAAATGATATTTGCACCCTCTTCTCAATAAAATTGCTATGGGTTTGATGTAGATAGTTTTAATGGATATGACAAACCTTTAGAAGATCTGTATTGAGCAAACAATAAAGAATCTTCAAAAAGGAATTAGAGAATATCTAATTCAATTACTCAGAGAGTAAAGAAGAAGAATATGAAAAAAATGTCTTAATAATTTACCCTCAAATATCTATTTATAGATATTTTCTCAAAAGACACAACCTTTCAAAAATAACTACCAAAATAACTATAAAAGAAAACACCTTTTCAAATAAATCTTTTGAAAAGAATTTTTTTTTCTTTTTAATTTGAACAATTTATAATAGAAGGACGTCATGGGCCACTTGCTTTGGTCTCAGGATTGAGTAGAGAAAGTAGGAGTCATGCTTAGTTCTTATTATTTGATATAAGCAGTGCTCGTGGGAGTTCTTTTATTCCTTGCGTTCTTTCAGTCCATATCACAACTGATTGCAAAACTTACGTTCGTTTATTCCTTCTATCATGGTCTAATAATTGATTAATAAAAACTTTATTTGTGTCCAATATTATTAAAAGTAAAAGTTTATGTTGAAGAAAACCGTAAACATTCATGCTTTGTGTTTATTGGTTGTTTCTTAATTAGCCTAGAGGTGATTTTGGGAACAATATATTGTTTTGTTCTTAATTAGCCCATGCCACGTAATTGCGGAGAGTATCGATTGAATAAGGAGGTAAAGCAGAGAGAATAAAAGTCCAATCTCAATGAGTAACATAAAATAAAATATCATTTATGCTTTTTTTTTTCTTTGAAGTTTCATAAAACACAGTTTTTCTAATATAAAGCGACGATACAGAACAATTATGACAACCGACACACTAGAATCACACCATCAATTGACTTATCACACCCAAAGAAACCTAATCGAAGACTCGAACAATTCATGACGAGACTAATTTCGAGTACAGTTTCTCTATATTATCCATAATTAAATTGTTACAGCGGTATAGGTTCAATTAATAAAGACCTGATGCGGTCGTTCGTTACTTGGCCGGGTTTACCGAGTCCGTCTCCGTACTGGTACATGCATTGGGCCATTCGAGGGATATTGATGGCCATCATTTTCAGGTTTTCCTCAAAACGCGAAGTGAAACTTCGATCTCCGTTTATTGCTCTCCAATTCCCCTTGATTAATCCCCTGATATGCCTACGAGCCGCGTCCTCCGATACACCGGTTTCATGCATGTAGCACTGGATAGATTTGGATACATCGCCTCTTTCAAGCTCGTCCTGCACAAAAACAACCGATGCAGAGAGGAGAAACTGTGTGAACTCTTTATTACGTTCGTTTCATGAACGAATGATTAAGTATGGAGCAATTCTCATACCGTGGAAGTACCCAAATCATCACAAAGTCGAAAAATCATGGACGGCCATCTTGCAAACTCAGGGCAGCTTTGGAAATCATCCAAGGCCTCCTGAGTTAAATCGTCACTGGTGCAATAAGCAAGAGTCAGTATTAGGGGAACTGATACCGATACCAGTGCGTTCTCCAAGTACTCTCCAAGATTGGGTGTGTAGCCTTGGTGGTACCACCTCGCTTCCACCGTGAATGTCTTCAATAGATCTGCCCACTGAAACCAAGACTATTACTCCTTCGAAAGTGGAACTGCATGATTGATGCACAAAAGAGGAAGGGATCGATATGTTACTGCTTTTTTTAGGTGTGGAATTATGTCCAGTCCCTTCTCTTTCTGAACATTGTATGCGATGTCATTTGTAGTGTTGAAGAGGGCTAGAAAACATATCCTCATATACTCTGGAAGTTTGTCCATTGCATTAACATCCCATCTGCAACATCCATCAGAGTAGAAGTTGTCAAGAATCAAAGATAGTTGAAATTTTATCTCTTGCATGCATGACGTGGAGGAGTTATTCATCACCTATCGACAGCATCCGTGAAGAGCTCGAGCTCATCCATGGTGCCGTAAATATCATACACATCATCTAATGTTACTATAAAGCAGTTTGCCTTCGTGTGCAACTCCCTGCATCTACCAAACTGTGGCTCAAAAACCCAGCCAACAGTCCAGAAATAGTTCTCCACCAACCTGTCCCTTGAAAATGGAAGCCTCTGCGCCAGGCCAAGATTGTTCCACCACCTGATCGATAGCCATAAGTTTGTGCTGAATTTTGCTGGTTCATAAACGAGGGCAGAATGCACAGGACATGATTCAAGTAAAGCAAGCTCAAAATACCTCGACACTTCTCTGAGTTCCCTCTGATATATGATCTGAACCCTGTTGAAGTCCAACTTAGCCAATTCAAGTAGGACAGGGTTCATCTTCGCTTCCCTTTGTGATGCTTCTATGAACCACCTGGTCTGTAACCTCGGCATCCTGCAGTTCAATGGAAGCTCCAAGGCATGGGCTACGTGCTCCCTGAGATGAGGCTCAAGTGATCCCTCCATGAGGCTCTTGAGTTGTTTAGTTGTGAAGTTCGTAGCTTCTTCCAGCACGTGCTCTCCTTCCTTTGCAAGATGGGAAGCCTCGTACAAGCTCACCAATCCTTCAGTCTGGTGGCGAAGGCTGACTTTCAAGTTTCCCTTCTCATCCATAAATCGGTAGAATACACCTTCAGTCCATCCACATAATTTTTGCAAGTTAGATTGTGACACCATGATAGAACAGAATAAACACAAAATTCCATTAGTATGTTAGGCTATTAACGTGGCATAATTTATGACTAATTGGACATATTTCTAGTTGTCTCAGTTTTATGGAAGTAATTGTTCTAGCAATATATGAGGTACATCAGCGACAATGCTGTATCAGTCGCCAAGAAAGGAGTAAAGCAGGATATACAGCTTAATCACCTTCAGAAACAGCAAACCCATGTTCTCTGAGAAGCCTGAACATAAGAGCCGTGGCATGAAGATTATCCTTCAGCAACATGTTCACCTTTTCCACGGAACCGTATATAGTCCCTAAAGCATCCTTAATATCCTCCTTAAAGTGATACGCCACCCCAAGCTGCTGCAGGTGATCGATCAGTTGAAGCTGCTCCTCAATTTCCTTCTTCATGTAGATCAGTTGTTTCACGTCCTCTGTCAGTTTTCCCATCCTTGTTGAGTTATCCTCCTCCACCTAATGAAAGCTAGTCAGTAACCAGTGCGAACTATAGATAAAACTCAAGCTTACAGATTGCATGCATACCGACCTTGGTGTCATTTCTTAGCGATTGGATGTATTCGTCACTCCACAAACTTGGCTGGTAATTAGCCGATCGCCGAGGAGGAATCTGCGCAGCACACCGGATATGTGGTCGGAAGCATTGACGTGGTGAAGCCTTGGACGGCGACGTCCACCGATGGGCACCGATGAGACTGCAGAAGGACGGAGCAGAAGCGCAGAAAGCCATTTGGCTCGGTGGACAACACTGAGCAGAAGACGGAGAATCTTATGGGCTTTGTAATGGCAGTGTGGCGATGGGTTTAATACGGACGGCTTCATTTATATCCACACAAGTTCCACATCCTCGTGTTCCATGCAAATGTATATTTGCTGTCAGCGTGTTCAACTTGTTCACTTCCGCACCAAGTTTATGATATGATACGTGTATAAATTAAATTAGAATATGGTATTAAAACGATAAAAAGAATTTAATTTGGATTTCGAAATTAATTTGTGTTAAAGAGTTTTTCTTGGATTATATAAAGTCTTGATTTGTATCCCTTCGAGTATATGCGTTGTGAAAACAATTGAGTTGTATAAGTTTTAGTAAATACATCAAGAAACCCTTCTTTCCTCGTCCAGATTAACTTGTTTTAATCTCTCCACTTCTTTCTTCAATTGATATCGGAGAGCCAAGTTAACTCATGACTTCCTAGAGTGCATTTTCAACATAAATTTCCTTATTGATGGAGGAAAACTTTAATTTATTGTGCATACAAATTAAGGCACTTCTAGGCACTCTTGATGTGTGGAAGCTTGTACGAGATGGTTTTATTAAACTTAGTACGGAGGAAAAAACACAAATGGATAAAGAAGCAACAAAACAACTCAAATATCAAAGAAAAGAGAAGAATGCCTTATTCACAATTTACTAAGTCCTTAGCAAAATGAAGTTTGAGATTATTGCTTCGTCAAAGATATCAAAGGAGGCACGGAACACTTTACAAAAGAACAAGGTGAACAAGATCCGCCTAGAAACTTTAAACTTTAAGAGCTGACTTTGAAAAACTACAACAATGCACCTCTAAGTCCATTTCAAAGTACTTCTATAATATCATTTATATTATTCACCAAATGAGAAAAAATGGTGAACAAATTAATGACCAAAAAGTAATGAAGAAATATTTAAGATCTTTGGGATCCGAAGTTTGATTTTATTTGTGGTAATTGAAGAATTTGAATAGTGAAAAACAATTATTTTTGGAACAAATAATGAGTTATCTTCGAGTACACGAACAAATGCTTATAATAAGAGAAGAAAGTCATTAGAGCAAGCTATATAAACTAAACAATGAAGTAGAGGTCGTGAATAACGACGAGGAGGAAGATCAACCTACTCAAGAAGTACAAAACAATCAAAATGGAGGAGACAATATAAGCCCAAGAGATCGAGGCCAAGGTCGTGGATGAGGTAAATATGGGATGTACTAACAAATCTCAAATTCAACGTTATATTAGTAAGAAGTTTAACCACTATGCTACAGTAATGTTATCATAATCCCAACTCTCAAATTCAATGTTATGTTTGCAATAAGTTTGACCATTATACTGCGTATTGCTATTATAATCATAACAATGGAAGTCATAATGCAAATTTTACAAACACAAAAGAAACGAATGATAATCCTGTTATACTAATAGCTAATGCTGATTTAAACTATAGTCAATTTATGATATGGTATCTAGACAAAAGTGCTTTCAATCACATGAGTAGCTATATCACAAAAATCAATAAGAGACAAAAGATAAATAAATGCAAAAATGACCCATCCCGTTCGTGAATGGGGAACGTTTATGCCACGTTAGTAGTGTCCCACTTCACACGGTTATATCGTGCATGTCCAAAGCTTTTTATTCCCGACACAAAGTGGACATTGCATGTGGCAGTCTAAACATGAACATCTATATTTATCGCATACGACATGACGTACTACCCACTGTCATCCATCACGTCATAACCATTAGCATCGCATTTCTCTCGAGCATCACATTGGCCGAATTGAGAATTGTGACTATGTCTATCGGATACGGCATGATGTACTACCAACTGCAATCCGTCAGATCGTACGAATTAACATGGCATTTGTCTTCGAGTCTCGTGTTAGCCAAATTGAGATCGTAATAATTGCCGGCATTATGGGCTGTACATTAAGCACTGATGGGAATGGAAACACAGATGACAGAGTAAAGCGAATCTACGAATACCACAAGTCATTTTATATTTCACCATAATAGCTTATAGGCATACATAAAGATTTTAAATTTATAGTCAGTTTTGTGATAAAATCTCATGAAAAAAATTGATATGATCAAGTGAATCTCTCCATCCTATAACCAATTGACCTATAGAAACTAAAGACCAACCAACATCATACTATACATGACATCAGAAAATGATACAAATTTATTAGTTTAAGGATCAAATCTGACAATATTAAAGGATAAAAGATAAAGAAAGTCCACCTGTACGATCACCAACATGTGAAGCTTACGCTATTGTATTACAATCTTTTATTAATCTCACATTCATAAAATGGTTTTGGAAATAATATAGGCCGAATTTTCAAAAAAACCCTAAGTTTCATAATTTTCCAAATAGTACCCCAAGTTTGAAAAAAAAAAATTCATCTTGTTAGGCAGTTAGAGCGGTTCTATGAGCAATTCTGTAACTTACAAGCTTTTTCAAAGAATTTACCCAATAATGTTTTATTCTTAATTAGATTAAGAATAAAAATCCAATTAAGTAGGTCTTTTCATATGACCGTCAATAATAATGATTGAGAGAAATTAAAAATCCAATCTCAATTAGTAGCATACAATAAATCATACTTTAGGTTTTTTTTGTCTTTAATATTTCATAAAGAAAGTTTTTCTAGTTTCAAAGCGCTGATACAGATCAATTATCACAACCAACAAACTAGAATTACATCATCAATACCTTTTACCGAATAAAAAGAGCGATCACACCTAAAGAATCTTCTTAATCAAAGGCTTGGACAAATCACGAGGAGACTTATAGCTTCACGATATTATCCTTAATTCCATTGTTACAAAAGTATAGGTTCAATTATCAAAGACCTGATGCGATCCTCAATCACTTGGCCGGGTTTCCCATGTCCATCTCCGTATTGGTACATGCATTGGGCCATTCGAGGGACATTAATGATCATCATTTTTATGTTTTCCTCAAAACGAGAAGTGAAACTTCGATCTCCGTTTATTGCTCTCCAATTCTCTCTAATCAATCGCCTGATATGGTAACGAGCCGCGTACTCTGATAAACCGCTCTCATGCATGTAACACTGGATAGATTTGGCCACATCGCCTCTTTCAAGCTCGTCCTGCACAAAAACAACCGATACAGAGAGGAGAAACTGTGTGAACTCTTTATCGCCATGATTCCATGAACGAATGATAATTATGGTGCATTTCAAATACCTTGGAAGTACCCAAATCATCACAAAGTCGAAGGATCATGGATGACCGTCTTGCAATCTCAGGACAGCTGTGGAAGTCTTCCAAGGTCTCTTGACTTACATCGTTACTGGTGCAATAAGCAAGAGTCAATATCAGGGGACCCGATACCGATACTAGTGCGTTCTCCAAGTACTCTTCAAGATTGGGTGTGTAGCCCTGGTGGTACCACCTTGCTTCCACCATGTGTGCCTTGCATACATCTGCCCACTGAATCCAAGGGTTGCACTGTTTAGAAAGTGGAACTGAAT